GCTGCGCCTGCTTCAGGACCCGCCTCCCGTCGACGCCGCGCGGTGGGGCGGGGCGTCAGGGGGGCGGGACCTGCAGCTGGCCTCTGCCGCTAGCCTCTGCCTCTGTGACTGGAGCTAATCCGCAGCCTCAGGAAAGGAAATGACACCAGGTCTCCGCTCCTGGTAGGTCCCTTGGCTAGACTAGAGAGTGGAGAGGGTGGGCCATCGGTAAGCCTGTACTGCACCATGTTAGCCTCCACGGAACCCTCATGTCCTCAACTTCGCCCTACTGAATCTCCCAGGAATCCTAATTCCCGAGGATGCTGGGAGGCACGATGGGCTGACTTCCATTAGGAAAAAGCCCTGAATGTCACATCTGCACTTCACAGGGCCTGAGTCAAAGCCTTTGATAAATTTCTGAAAACCTGTTGCAGTGCTCTCTGAGGAGAGTCTGGTTTTATGTTTCCTGAAGGGCATTAGCGTTACAAGGCCCCTGAACGGGATCACAGTTGTGGCAAATTTCTAACCTCACCTCCAATCTGGCTTTCTGGCTCTTTCCGCAGAAACCAAACATGAGGTTCCAAGAAATTGGATTGAAAACCTTCTAGTTTAGAGTACTGGTCGGGCGCTCTGCCCATGTGCGCAATAAGAAAATGTTGAAAGGACTACACGGGTCAGTAAACCTGAATTTGGCCAACTTCAAAAAAAATGTAATTCAAATGCAAGGTAAGGATCTAGCTTGATGTCTGTTGAATTTGGCTTCCATGTGGCAGCTGCACATTGGACAGGGAAAGGAACAGAGGTGACTCAGACACCGGGAGGATAACAGGTGTGTAAAGTGTGTACCTAGGTAGTTGACTAGAATCCAGGCAGGAAACAGAAATTTTCCTATCTCACTGCTCTGCTTATCTGTACATATTCCTCTCCCCAACAGATCACCTCAGATCATAACTTTAAAATGACAAATTAAGTAACTAGGAGAGTGCCCAATCTAGCACACAAGACATGTTCCAGACCTCCAATCCCCAAATCAGAAAAGATCAAGAGGAAATTAAAAATCTTTTTTTCCCTAAGCCTCTCAGGAATATTCCTTAGCTTTACAGATAGGCTTATCTTTGGTTTCACATGTTGCCTATTTTCTGCGCATTCAATAGAGAATGACTGAATAAGTGTTAAAAGCAGTAACAGAAGTCTGCCGCTGAGTGGTGAATGAAAAAGCCCTAATTAATGCAGAGGAGAATAAAGACTTTCATTTAGGGGAACTCATTATAAGCAAGAAATGTCTTTGAAATCTACTAGATTCTCTTAATAATATATTTGATTTAGTATAAATATGCTTTGAATTAAAATACAGATAAATTAACATTGTCCCCAAAATCTCTGAAAAAATGGATACTCGAGAATGTGCCAAGTTTATCTTGAAGCTGGGAGACCTCCTATCATGCTACTAAACTCTGGACATTTGCCTGTTCTAGTAAGAAGTATGATAGTAGAAGACTCATAAAAAAATCAATAATATTGTAGAGCCTGTAAATAAAATAATTACAAAATACCGAGGGACATGGTCATTCACACATACAGTGAAAGATTGAAAAATGAAGGATATTTCTCTGGAAAACTTCTCTGAAGAAAAGTGGTAGGATGGTATATTGGTCTGCTAGGACTGCCATAGCAAAATACCAGAGACTGGGAGGCTTAAGCAACAAATTTATTTCTTCGCAGTTCTGGAAGCTGAAATTCCAAGATTAGGATTGGTTTTTTCTGCAGCCTCTCTTCTTGTCTTACAGACAGCCATCTTCATGTCACATGTCATTCTATATGTGTCTGTGTCTAAATTTCCTCTTCTTTTAAGGGCATCAGTCATATTGGAGTATGGCCCACCCAATATCTTCATGTTAACTTAGTTACCTCTTTAAGGAACCTATCTCCAAATAGTCCCATTCTGAGTTATTGGGGGTTAGGACTTTCACATATGAATGGGGGGTGGAGGGGACACAATTCAGTCCAAAACAGGCAGCTATAAGTGAAAAAAAAGGGTTTTCTTGTTTGGCTTTTTATTTTGGAGGTGGGGTGAGAAGGTCAGAAGGGTGGCTGTTTTAAACATGATGCAAAGTGTGAAGACAAGGGCAAGGCCATAAACTCCAAGTTCTCTAAACAGATAAAAGTGAACTGTATTAACTCAGGCTACTGAAGCAAAATACCATAGACTAGGTGGCTTAAACAACGGAAATGTATTTCTCACAGTTCTGGGGACTGAGAAGTCTAAGATCAAGTTGCTGGTTGATTTGGTTCATGGTGAGAACTTTCTTCCTGGCTTGAAAAAGGCCATCTCTTGCTGGGTCCTCACATGATCACGAGAGAGATGTCTTTCTCTCTTGTGCTTCATCTAATAAGGCCAATAATGCCATCATGAGGTCTCCACCCTCATGATCTAATTATCTCTAGGCCCCCATCTTTAAATACCATCACATTGCAAGTTAGGGCTTCAACATAAAGTTTGGGGAGGGTACAGTACAGTCCACAGCATCAACCTTTTTATACAATACTTTATATATTGAATAAGTTTTTCCACATCTTTGTTTCCCATTTCTTGACATTGAGTAGATGCCATTTATTCAAGAATAATGCCTCTGCTTTCCCCTCCAAATTTTCTCTTCTTTTTTAATCTTTCTTTCCTTTGCTTTTCACTTATGGAATATTCATTAATCTTCTTTCACAATACCTCAGGTTGGAAATCCAATGATTATCTGGTTTTGAATGAGCATGTAAGATGTGTCATATCTCATTTAATTTTATGAGGTAAGTATCATAACATTCCCTGTTTTATAAAAATTGAGAATCAGGAAGCTTAGTAAACTTGCTCAAGGTCACATAGCTAGTGATAGGTTATGATAAGTGTTCTGATTGAATTTTTCAATCCCCATTCCATGTTCTATTTGGAAAAGTTGAAGTGCTAAAACCCCCATTTCCCAGATCATTTTGCACCCAGTGTTTTGGAAGCAGATTAAGTTCTGCCAATCAGACACGTTCCTCTTTAATCTGGCAGGTAGAAGTGAAAAGAAAGGCATTTTTCCACTTCTTGTCAGACTGACCTGAGAGTTTTTGGCAACTAGACTCCAAGTTTGGGTCTAGTCACAAGTGTTATGAATATAGAGCCAATTGGGGTGGTGGCGGCAGCAGTTTCCTAAATTCTGGCTTAGAGATATATGGCTGGCTTAGAGGTATGCCCTTGGCATCAAGTGCCCGGGCTTCTGTTCCTCCGCCCCTTATAAAGACTTTTTAATTGAAGTTTTTATTAAGATAATTGTAGATTCAAATATATTTGTAAGAAATAATACAGTGACATCCTATGTACCCTTTAACTCAATTTCTCCCATGGTCACATCCTCAAAAGCTATAGTATAACATCACAAGCAGAATATTGAAATTGATACAATTCACTCACTGATCTTATTCAGATTTCCCCAGTTTTCATTCTTTTGTGCATGTATGTGTGTTTAGTTCTATACCATTTTATCACGTGTATAAATTTGTTCATCTCCTACCAAAGTCAAAATTCCAAATAGTTTTGACAACACAAGAATGCCTTATGTTGTCCTTTTATAACCCCATCCCTAATTCCTGGAAATCACTCGTCTGTCCACCACTTTGAAATTTTGTCACTTCAAAAAGTATTATAAATGGAATTATACAGCTTGTAATCTTTTGGGACTGGTTGTTTTTCACTGAGCTGAAGTTTCCTGGAGATCCATCCAAGTTGTGTATCTTAGTAGTTCGTTCCTTTTTATTGTTTAATACTATTCTATGGTGTGAATTTCCATTGTTTGTTTAGCCATTCACCCATTGAATGATATCTGGGGTATTTCCAGTTTTGGCTGCTACAAATAAAGCTGCTATGAACATTCCCATGTGTAGGTTTTTATGTGAATATAGTTTTCATTTTGCCCAAGAGTACAGTCACTGGACCATATGGTAATTGCATGTTTAGTTTTCTAAAAAAAACTGCCAAATTTTTTCCTTGCAAAGAATTTATAAACAGAATTTCTTGCACTATATCCCTTTCTACTTAAAATGCCTACAGTGGTTTTTGTGTTCCACTCAAAACTTTGACACAATAGTATAAACAAGGCACAAACTCTAAACCCAGCTCTTAACCAAGATTGAAAGACCAATAAAATGGTTATTTGTGTATGGGAGTATGACTGCAGTATGATTGGCAGGGAAAACATACAGGAGAAAAGCAGAGATCATTTCCTTTTTACTTTCCCTTCACTTCAGGATTTATACCAGTTTTCCAATTCAGGAAATAATTTTTTAAGTAAAATCTTATAAAATACAACTCTCTGAGAGATGAGACAACTTAGATCCTTGTTTTTCCACTATGTTACTCTTTGGAAATAAATTGTGTGAGTTTCCTTTAGTATAATTCATAGCAGAAACAGCATAATTTTGGAAACAGAATTGGAAGGTGATGCAATAGCTCTGAAGTTTGTAACGACTTCCTGAAATGTGTCACCTCAACTTTGGACTATACCATTCTACTAATGAAATCACACTATGGCAAGATTTTTAGGCCATGTTTTTATAAAAGGGGAAAAGTATTCAAAGTAATTGAAGAGATGTATTTTTTATATCCTCACCCTTAACAATTTTCCATTTGAGAGCTCTCTGTCTTCAAGCAAATGAGTGTAAGAAGTATGAATTCTGGGCCACCTGTATACTTCTATCTCTAGTAGAACGTGTATGCGTAAAGTCATGTTGCCCTTATCTCTTGTTTTTTAATTTTTAATTTTTTTAGTTGGACTAATAGTTTTTGAGATAGAAGAGCTAATTCATTGGGAAAGTTTTCCACTCTGGTAATCTTAGTTTTTTTAATTCACAAATTCTCAGGGAGCAGAGCCTTAGGATTATTGCTGTAATCTAATTAAAATCTCCACTCAAGACATACAACATTGTTTTTCCATTAGTGGTTTCAAACCCAGGCAGGGGAAGTATGTGAAGCTTCAAGTCTTCCTTTGCTCCTATTTTCAGCATTCTCTTCTCTGGTCTGGATTAGAGAATACATACATTTTCACTCCTCTCTTTACGACATTTTCTGAAGCCTTGCCTGATTACAAGTGAATACCCAATAACACAAAATACTAGAGATAATTATATGTTAAAATTGCCTTAAGGTTAAGATACAGGTCTCATTTTTTATTTCTAAGCACTCTAATTCCAGAGAAATGTTACTCTTTTGTACTAACATGTTTAACACTTTCAAGATGCTGTCATAAATTTTAAGTTCCTCCAGGCTGAGTCCATTTCGACTACTAATGGCTTCCAATCTTCCTCTTAGTACCTATATGCCTAGTAAAAGTCTTGGCTATGGGCCTAATCTATACAGGAAATAGAGGAACACTAGGATTATAAAGGCAAGTATCACAAATTCTATGCATTAGAGAATTTGATAGACCTCCTGGGAAAAATGGCAAAGAGAAGTTTTATACTAATGAATTTATTAAATGGCCCCTTTCTTCCCACCAAGAAAGATCTTCCTTCAACCTCTGGGAAGTATACCTTAAGGAATTTAGGATAGCAGAAGGGCTGAAGAGTATGTGGGCTCTGTCCTGGATTGTGTCCTAATCATTAATGAGAAGACTCACTTTTGATGTAATAGTAGATGGAGGCTCTAAATAATCCTTAGATGCAGCTCTGAGGTAATTTGCCTCAGGTTCTCAAAGAAAACTGTAAACTCTAAAAAAGGAAGCCACTTTTCTGGGAATCTCACTGAAGTGCAGTAAGCACTGGTAGGGACAGAACTTCAGCTGCCAGTGAACAGTGAAGATAGTTGAGACAAAATCAGTGTCACTTGTCCTGGCACAATGACTGTGGCAATAGTAATCATTATAGCACACTGTGGCCTGACTCCCAACAAAAGGAGTGTTCAGCAAGTAGTCAGAGGAAGGAGCACCAGTAATGAATGTTGATTACTCTGAACTTATCAAGATAATTTTATTCCTCTTGTTAGTGAAGGACTGATGGAGACAAGTGATGCAACCCTATCTAGTGAGATGTGATAGGTAAAATTGTTCAGCTATTGAGTCTCCTCTTTTCCCCCAAACTCCCATGGGTGATATCCTAGGTTAGTGTTGATGGTACTCTGCCTCTCCTGAAAGAGATCCAACCATATCCTACCTGATTACTCTGTAAAAAACTGCTCATGATACTGCGAGATAGTAATTTGAGCAGGGCTCTGTTGAGCAGTTCTGCTCTTTGTGACATTAACTGGGGTCACCCTGTGGTATTCAGATGATAGCTAGTTTGATCTAAAGAGTCCAAAAAGTCTTCCCTCACAGTCTTGTACCTTAACAGGGAAGTCTGGAAGTCTGGGCTCAGCTGGGATCTAAGATGGCAAAGCCTCTCTCCATTTGTCTCTCCACATGGTACTTTCAGTATGGTAGATAGCTTACACATTGGGTCAGGACTACCAAGAATAAAAGTTCTAAAAGACCTAGGGAGAAACTTCAAGGTTGCTTATGACAGCCTTGGAAGGTAGCAGAATTCATTTCCCTCTGAAAATGTAACTGAGGATATTGGATTTTTGCTGGCTGTCAAAAGAAGCTAGCCTCAGGTTATAGAGAACCTGTAGTTCCTTGCTTTGTGGTCTTTCTGAATATGGCTGCTCACTCCATCAAGCCAGCAAGAAGAATCTCTTATTTCAGTAATCTGAGATGAAGTCTTATATAATGTAACCTAACAAGGGAATGGCATCCCATCACCTTTACCATATTCTGTCGATTAGAAGCAAGTCACAGATCCCATCCTCACTCAGAGAGGGAAGCCCATAAAGATGTAATATCAGGAAGTGGAAATTATTGACCGTAGGGTCTGTCCAACACACCCCATTTGAGGAGGCCCCAAAATTTTGTGTCTTAAACAAAAAATTATTATTTTCACTCATAGTTCTGTAAGTTTACTGGAGTTAGATGGGAAGTTGTCTCTCAAGATTGCTCTTCTGGTTGCAGTCAAATGGCATCTGGGGCTGGAATCATCTGAAGGCCTGACTGAATTAGAAGTCCAAGATGGCTTCTTTGCTCACAAAGTTCATGACTTGGTTGGGGTAACAAGCATGCTTGAGCCTGGCTGGGCATTTCTCTCTCTCCATGCAGCCTCTCTGTGTGGCTACCTTGGACTTCCTCAGAGTGTGGGGGTCTCCAAGTAGTCAGACTTACTACATGGCAGCTGGCTTCACAGGGTAAACATTCTAAGCTACAAGGCTTTGTATGATCTAAACTCACGCAGGAATCATGCAGTGTGACTTCTGTCACATTCCATTAATCAAAGTCATAAGGCCAACACAGATTCAAGGGGTGGGAACTACATGAAAGCATGACTATTCAGAGGCATGGCTCACTGGGGGAGGCATTGTGGAGATGAACTATTAAAACCTAAAATATGTTAACCTAAAAATCCAGCATAATTACTTTATATAGTTTATATATTGGCATATTACCTAGATCCATATCCAAATTTCAGATGCAATTTTGACTGAGCAATCAGTTTTATGTTGGTGCATTATCTACTGGTTATTTAATAAACTCAGGCATCAAAAATGCCTAGTTATCCTGAAACTGCATAACTGTGGCAAACTATGGAAATGCATCACCCATTATCTTTGGTAGCTCAAGACCTAAGAGTTCTGGGCCAGCACAAGAGAGAGTCTTCTAAGAGTTTCTAGAAAAGGTTTTCCTCCCTGAAAAGAAATGAGCAAAAAATATATATATCGCTTTTCCACTTTTGTTGTTATGTGATGGTATGATGCCTGGAGTTGCAGCAGCTATATTGTGACTATAAGGAGAAAGTCGAAAATTGTAGAGAAACAACTCAAAACTCTAAAATAATGAGCAGCTATAGTAACCAATTCTAAATTTCTTATATCCTGGCTTCTTGTTATGGGAGTAAGTTTCTTATTTTTTAAACCACTTTAACTGAATATTCTGTTACATCTCAATGCACTTATTGACACATATCTCCAGGCCACCAAGCAGTGGAGATGAAGGGAACCTGGCAGCCACCGAATTTTAATGGTTGCTCAGAGCATATAATCATCTGGCACACTGACAGGGAATGTTGGAGCCTTTGGGGCTCAATGGTTGGGGATCCATGCATTTAACTATCCTTCTTGAATCCAGGTGGGCTGAGGAAACAAGTTTGTTTTTATAGTTCCTTAATTTATTTTTCTTTTTTACTTATCTAACCCCTAAATATTTGTTTCTTTTCTAAGCTTGGTTTCATGTTGGAAAACTAAGATTGTATTTTAGGGAATTTATTCATAATTATAAAAAAACTGCTGTTGCCTCCATCTGTTTCACCGATTATTACTAAACCCAAAATTAGAGTCAAATGACCTTTTCTGCAACAGTATATTAGTCTTCTAGAGCTCCTATACTTTACCACAAAACTGATGGCTTAAAACAAATTTATGCTCTCAGTTCTGGAGGCTTGAAGTCTGGAATTAAGGTGTCAGTAGGGCCATGCTCTCTCTGAAGAGTTTAGAAGAGGATCTTTCCTTGACTCTTCCTAGTTTCTGGTAGTCACCAGTAATCCCTGAGTTTCCTTGGCCTGGAGATGTATCACTCCAACTTCTGGCTGTCATCACAAGTCGTTCTCCCTATGGGTGTCTATGTCCAAATTTCCTTCTTTGTATAAGGACACCAGTCACTTTGGATTTAAGGCCCACCCTGTTCCAGTTTGACCTCATCTTAATTTGATGACAACTGCAAAGACCCTATTTCCAAATAAGATCACATTCACAGAACCCTGAAGTTTGAACTCGAACATTTTTAGAGGGACACAATTTAACGTATGACAAAGCGATTTAGAGAAAAATATAAATGGTAAAACACCCATTTGTAGAGATGCTTGACTTAATTCAAAACAAGTTAGAACTGATATCATCAAATTTTAAAGAATTCCAGATTGGTTATACAATTTGGAGAATAGGCTAGAAAATCAGACACTTTTATACCCTGTAAGTGGAAATGTAAACTACTATTACCTTCGTTGAAGGCAGTTTAGCAGCTTCTATTAAATCATACCCTCTATTTCAGTATCTAGTATATGGTAGCCATGCAATGATTATTTATTGACAATGCAGGATTACTTTTGGGAATGGAAAAAAAACGTGGACATTGATGTCAGACAGTTAAATTTTATTTATGGCCCTGTAATTATTTACTAAGTAACTTTTAAGCAATTTACTTAACTTCCTTTTGAGCCAACTTCTTTCTAGAAAATGGAGATACTTCCTACCTTTTAAAACTGTGAGAGATAATGAAACAATATGAGCAGTGTTTCATCCAATGACTGCCAAGTTATAAGTTCTGGATAAGAAAGACTTTACTCTCTTCCACACGATGTCTTTGGCCAGCCAAAAGAATTCCATTTCCTTAAAAAAGTTTACCCAGATTCTTTTTATAATCTCCTTCCTGTCATCTAATCGCCTCTCTATTTAAATTCAGCCTTCCCAAATCTACCATTAGACTCATCTCTTTTGTGCCACCAAGAATTCATTGGTAATTTAGACAGATATTCCTCACAGAAGGATCATAGAACCATTCCCCTATTATATTTGTCAAAATAAAAAGTGTCCAAACTTTTAGAGAATTTTTTAGGAGTTCATCTGAGCCAAAACTAATGATACTTGCTAGGAAGAAAGATCTCAAATGCTTCAGAGAATAACAATTTTGCAGTTTCTTTTATGTATTTGAGATAAGGAGAGGAAGTAAGGAAGATTACTCAAAGGTGGGAGAAAGCAAGGTGGGGATTGGATTACAGGATAGGTAAGATTATGTGCTCTCTCCACAGTGGTTATGCTCATTTCAAAGGTGTGTTAATCCTAGATGCACAAAATCAATGTGTAGGGCTTTGTTTAAGGCAGTGATAAACCTTTTACTGAAGGAGTTATATACTTGGGGGCATGACTACTCACCAAATTACCCACCCAATAAAAGATGGGTAGGAGAAACAATGGTGGGTCTCCTGCTGCCTGAGAAGCTGAGGAACCTTCTTGCCCGGTGTGTTTATCATACAGGAGCTGGAAGCAGATGAGACCCTTCAGAGCCTGAGTACAGAGTGAAAGAAAAAGTGAGGAACCTGTTTCTTGCTTTTAGACATTGTAACCCCGTAACATCACCAATCACAATCAGATTCATCGTACTTCCTCCCTTGGCATGTAGTGAAGAAAGAGAGGTACAAGTCAGAAGTTTTCTTCAAATATTTCCCCAAGGAAGAAAAAGAGGGATGCTTGGACCAAAGTTCTGTCCATCCTTTGGACAGAGAAAAAAAGCGAGACAGTAAGTTTACCTTAAGAAATACTATCAGAAGAAACATGGTCTATTAGGAAGCAGCTTAAGAGAGAAAGATGTATTCCACAAAGATACAGAAAATCCGAGGTCATGACGCTGGCTGGTTATATAATCTCAGGAAAGTTCCTTGTCCTCAATTGCCTCGTAATTAAATGGGGAACAAAGTCCTTCCCTCTACCTCCACTCTTTCATCTCTATTTTCTGAGCACATGGAGACTGACACAGGCATTGCCCTCAAGGAGCTAAAGTCTTAGGGTGCTGGAGAAAATTACTGTTTTCTGTCATTTCTAAAATCTGAGATCTATAATCATTAAAAACTACAATCTACCTCCTGAGGAAGCCAGATTTCCTTTTCAGTTATAGTTAGCATGAATTTAAATCAACTAAGATATAAATTGCACCAAACATTAGTAGTTTCTTGATATCCAAAACTAAGAATGTTACTAAAATTTCCCTTTATATTATTATATATCTTCCAAGTTGATCCTGAGAAAAATCCATAAAACTCATCTGCAGAGAAAAGCTCATGTATTTAAGCAACAAAATTTCAAATAAACAATATTGTTGTATGAAACATAAGCTAGTAATAAATTTGATCTAAAATATGAAAAATGAATACTTTAAAATTTTTTAAATTTTGTTTTTGATTAAATGTGTATGATATTGTGATTTTTTTAATAAATGTAGATTTAGTCATTCAGATGACTAAAATAAATTTCTCATATATATTTGGCCTTCATCCATGATTCCTGGTTCACAGGTTCCCAAATCCTTGGAATTTGCTGAGCAGTAAGATCAATAAGAACATCTTTTGTCATAACATTTCGTCTGTTGTCCTTAGTTCCTGAAATATCTTCAGAGCCATAAAAGTACAATGGGTGTTTTGTTGTTCATAACAAACCCCTTTCCACTACAACTGGGTTAATGAGATGACTTTTGGAAAGCACCTAAGGATGGGGGCTGGTTGTCAGGAGAACCAACTATGAATAAAAGGTTGGAACTTTCATTCCCACCCTGATCTCTGAAGGGAGAAGGTCTGGAGATTGAATCAATCGCCAATGGCCAAGGGTTTAATCAATCATGCCTATGTATTAAAGCCTCCATAAAAACCCAAAGGACAAGTTCAGAGAGCTTTCAAGTTGTTGAACATGTGGAGTTTCGGGGAGAGTGGTGCACTTGGAGAGAACATGTATGCTCTGCATCCTTTCCCCATACCTTGCCATTTGCATCCCTTCCATCAGGCTGTTTCTGAGTTATATTAAGAAAGGAGGCATCTGAAAAATGTAAAGGAAAGGGCTTGCAGAAATGACGGACTTAGCGGGTTATAGATTAACCACCCCCTATAGATCTTTAAATGACCTTCTAGAAACTCTTGTCACACCTACAAGAGAAAGGATCTGTAAATAGATAGGACTGGTGGTCCGGGAATTCTTTCTCCCTTGCAGCCCCCACTCGAAACTCCCCTTCCCATCCTGAGTCACAAGGTGCACGTAGAACCCCAGACAAAGGAATCACACACCCCTTTCATGGACACTGCAGAGGTATATAAGCTGTAAGAAATCTAACCAGGGGGAGCTCATGCTTTTGTGCTGTTAAGTCCATGCGCTCTGCCAGCAAATAAATTCTTCCTCTAACAAAGTTGCCTGAGAGTCCAAATTCCTCCGTCAGTTGTCACTTCTTGCAACAATATCCTTATATAATAAACCTGTAATCTAATAAATAAAATGTTTTTCTAAGTTCTGTGAGCTGCGCAAGCAAATTGATCAAACTGAAGGTGGAGGTTGCTGGAACCATCAATCTATAGCAGGTTGGTCAGAGGCGCAGGTAACAACCTGGACTAGTGTTTGGCATCTGAAGTGGAGGGCAATCCTGTGGGACTGAGCACTTAACCTATGAAATCTGAAGCCATCTCTGGGTATGTAGTATCAGAATTAAGTTGAATTTTGGGTCAACCAACTGGTTCTGGAACACCCCCACACACTCATTGGAATTTTGTTCCGAACCTTTTAATGTGTCATCTAAGAATGGTGTTTGCAATTTGTAAAAAGCTGTAGCCTGTCTTTTTGAATTACTGAAAACAAGTTACATAAAAGGCTAATTCATGGAGTATAAAGGGCAATGAGAATAAGTAAAAGGAAAAAGTTATAAAGCATTTACTCACTCTGCTATGGTGAGACTTCCATTTACATACCCAAAGTTTATATGAACTTCTTTGGAATGCAGCATAAATCCTTGATAGTATTTAGAAAAAAGAAGACGAAAAACATGAAATAGCCAAATGGAAAGAGACAATTTAAAAGGAATGGAAACTCTTGTTAAAAAATTTCACACCTCCCTGTCTGTCTCTGCCTCTGGATTCGAAGCTCTAAGGCATGTAAACACTAAAAATTAGAGTTTCCTGCAAAAGCCTTCATGGATTATACTAAATCGAAACAGAGTCCTTAATGATTTAAGAAACTGTTGAGAAAGAAGAGTACCTCTTAAGCTACCAGCTCCTCAAAAGAAGGGCTGTGCATTTTACTTCTTTGAACATGCCTCAAACACATTTGAAAGATGTTCAATAAATGCTTACTAAATTGAATCTTGATGAGAAAGACAGTGCTGTTCTAACAGTTTTATTTTATGGGAGTAGCTTAAATATAATCCATTCAGATTATGATATTTAAAGTTAAGAATGTCCTCCTTCCTTATTCCTCACTCTTTCTGTGGCAGCCTTTTCAACTTTTTGTATTCAGTGTTCTTTCCTACATAATATACAAACACTAGTTACCAGAATTGCCATTAAAAAAATTAAAAACAAAACATTTTTTGTTAAACGTTTAAAAAAGTCATGTTGTCAAGAGAAAAGGCACCTTTGGTTAGTGTTCTCTTCAAGTTTGATAAAAGACTTTGACAAAAATTCTGAGCAGTTTTCTTCTTGCTGAAGTTTAAGAAAGACAAAAGGGACTTAAATTTAAAACTTTGAACAGTTTATTTAGTCAACCTTCACTCAGAAAATATGTGTAAGTGTGTACTGCATACTGGGTACTGTAATTTACTAACTGCTAATGCTGAGTTAGTTGCAAGAGTGAGCTTCTAAAGTAAGTAATATAATATGGATCATTACAGATCTTTGATGAGAAGTAAGACTATCCTAGAAGATTAACAGAAAAATAGGAAATGGAACTAGGTAAAACTCAAGGAGCTCTCTATCTCTCTAATTCTTACTCTACACTTATCATAAATCAAGATGAGAAAATCTCAGGCATTCTGACTTAGGAAGTGTTAAAAAGATCATAAAGTTTGATTGAGTGAAACAAAGCTATGGCACCATTCTATTACCTGACCTACTGGTAATGAAATTAAGTGAAATGAAACTAAGCATTAGTGAAAAATAACATACTTTAGTTTAGTGAGTCAACAATTAGCTATAACTCCACAATCTTAATGAACCTAATGGTGAAACTTTTCTGCCACTGGAAAACCCATGATGTACAAAACTAGATCAATTGTGTTCCATTCTAGAGCAACTATGAATGTCTGGTTGAGAGACATTACTAGACTCAATATCTTCTTTAAGGACCCCTAGATGTTTAGATTCTTTCAGAGACCCTATATAGATCATCAGGATAGATCTGGCAGACCATTCTCAGGAACGAATATAGGAATTATACTAGGTAGGTGTAAATGACTCTTTATCCTTTTTGCCACTCTGAATTTAATCTGAAATGACAGAATTAAGATTTAAAACTAAGAAAAATTACATCCAAAGGTAAAATAAAGGATTAAACGTAACAAAGAAAGTTGGAAATGAGACTGGAGAGGAAAGTTGAAAATAGATAGTGATGAGTCTTATTAGCCATAATAAGGAACCAGATTGTATTACTGACATTTTGGGAGAAACAATTCATCATGGATTGTGCTGTCTCAAGCACTGCAAGGCATTTAGCTACCTGGCCTCCTAATCCTCAGATGTGACACGCCCCATACCCTGTTTTGGTTAGTGTTCTCCCTTAAGCAGATACTGAGACAGTATTTGAATGTAAATAGATTATTTGGAAGGTGGAGGAAACATCAATAAGGGAGTGAGAAAGTGATACAAAGAATGGAAGACAACCAATAAAGGGTATGTTATCAAGGTAGCTACTGCTGTGGGTGACTAAGCCTAATCATGTAGGAAAACTTGGAAATAATATAGAATAGCACCCCATAGTTATTTGACCAGGGCAAGGGAGCAGAGATATTTATACTCCAATTTCTGTCAGTCTTTTCTGAAGGCTGCTGATATGTTTGGGAATGTGGACTATAAATCTTACAAAACATGGGAAGGACTTATATAATGAAAACTATAAGACCCTATTAAAAGAAATCGAAGAAGATACAAAGAAATGGGAAGATATTCAATTGGAAGAACGAAAATAGTTAAAATGACTTTATCATCTATAGCATTATACAAATTTAATGCAATCCCCATCATAATCTCATCGGCATTTTCAAAAGAAATAGAACAAAAAATCATCATATTCATATGGAGGCACAAAAGATCCCGAAATGCAAAAGTCATCCTGAGAAATAATAATGAGGCTGGAGGCATCACTTTGCCTGACTTCAAATTATACTACAAAGCGACTATAATCAAAACAGCATGGTATTGGCAGAAAAACAGACACACGGACCAGTGAAAGAGAATCGAGAGTCCAGAAATAAACCTATGTTTATATGGGAAAATAATTTTTGACAAAAGAGCCAAAAACATACAGTGGAGAAAGGAAAGCCTCTTCAATGAATGGTGCTGTGAAAACTGAAAAGCCACCTGCAAAAGAATGAATCTAGACTGTTGTTTATTGCCACATAACAAAATTACCTCAAAATGGATTAAGGATCTGAATATAAGACTTGAAACAATAAAATGCATAGATAAAAACATAAGAACTAATCTCAAGGACCTTGGACTTAAAGAGGATTTTATGAATTTGACCTCAAAGGCAAGGGAAGTAAAAGCAAAAATAAATGAATGGGACTACATCAAACTGAAAAGCTTCTGTAAATCAAAGAAACCATCAACAAGGTCAAGAGATAATTATCCGAATGGGAAAATATATTTGCAAGTAAGGCTTCTGATAAGGGTCTAATATTTAAAATATACAAAGAACTCATAACTCAATAACAACAAAAATATAAAGAATCCAATTAAAAAATGGGCACAGTACCTGAACAGACAGATATACAAATGGCCAACAAACATATGAAAGGATGCTCAACTTTGCTAGCTATTAGGGAAATGCAAATCAAAACCACAATGAATACCATCTCACACCTATTAGAATAGCTGTTATCAACAAGTAATAACAAGTGTTGGAGAGGGTGTGGAGAA